TGCTGATCAAGTGGGTTTCTTAATGTGGAGGACTTCTCACGTGCTTTCCCCAGGCGCTGGAGGGCTGCTCCCCTGCTCTCCCACTTCATCCACTGCAGTGCCCCTGCTAGCAGGTGCTTGCACAACTTGGGGCTCATGGCACAGAATGAGATTTGTAAAATTCAGTACAGCCACAGGCTCTTGTAACTGTCTTGCGGATTTTTTTTTTTTCAACTTAGATGTTGCCCGCTGTCTGGAGCATTGCAGGACTTCTCTTTTGCTGTTAGTTATTAATTAATTAGATTGCCCTGGGTAGGCTTTGAGAATCATGCCTTGGTGCTGGGGAGGGCAAGGGGAAGCGGAGGGATGATTGCTCATCTGTACTCTGGCTGGCTGGCTGGCATAATGGGTGCAAGAATGAACTGGCATAGCAGCCTCATGGATTTCTGTTGCTGAGTGTATCCAGGCAAAGACAAAACTGTGCATTAATGGTGTGTTGTAAATTAAAAAAACAAAACACAACAAAAAACAAGCAAGTGCCTACAACTGTATGTTCTGTGGACATGTGTGTATGTATGCATCTGGTGAACCTGCAGTTTTCCTTATTCTTGTGCCATTTTGGAGAGGTTTTATCATCTTGCTGTCATGCATTCTTTTAAAGATAAATATATGTATACATGGAGAAACCTGAGAACAACAACTCTCAACTAAGTCTGCCTGTAAGGAAAACTGCCATGTTCTTAACTTGAGATGAAGACAGGCCAGATTCATGAGGAAGGGCAATATATTTTGTTAGACCAATTGATAAAGCTGGAAAAAGCAAACCAGCTCTTGAGCACACGTTCTTCTCCACGTCTCCGATGATCTTAGGCATTCATGGCTACAATAACACCACTTAGTATAGTTTATATAAATCAGCAGTTTTGAGTAACAAATGAGGTCCTCTGCAAAGGTAGGCTACAGCACATTCCTGTCAGAAAATGAGGGATATTTAGGACAGGAATTTTTATTATAACAAAGGTGAATGATCACCTAGCTTCCACTCTTAACGTTGCAGCTCGTATGAGCTTCATTAGTTCCTCAGTCATGAGAATTCTGAGTTTTATTTCCATAAGAGGAGTTTTGGGGGGTTCTTTTAGCTCTTTGCTTGGTGTAAACCTGGACCAGTGCACATTAATCACTTACACACGTTAGGTGTTGCCTAATCAAAATAATTGTCGTTCTTTTAGCTGGAATGAAATCACAGTGTACTTACAGGCTTGTCTTTCCTTCAGTTTGCCTATAAAGGGAATTTGCAGTATCTTGAGCTTGAGCAGCCTGTGTCAGTATTCTAAACTAGTGTTTTGTCAGCCTTTTGAACATGTTTAGCTACTGTCGTGGTTTAACCCCAAAACCAGCACAGCTACATAGACTTAAAGTGAAAGTGGTTTTAACCAGCTCAGCCCATAAGTGTGAACAAATTCTCGGTATTTGAGGCTATTCCAGAACGGAAATCTTAATATAAAAGACAATGATAAAAATAGTTCTAATATAAAAAGTAAGCAAGAAAACTCAAAGCTTTTAGATTTCTTTCAGTGTCTTCCATCTGTAACAATGCTTAAATAGAACAAAAATGTGTAAGTCCAGCCCTTTTTTTTTTTTCTTTCTTCTCTTTCTTTCTATTTTGCAAGTCAACTTTAATAAATATGTAGGAAAAGCTGGGGGGGAGGAGGAAGGGAGGAGGTGACCCAGACTGAATGCCAGCTTTTCTCCGAGGTCTCATATTGCAGACCACTTAGATCAGTAAAGTGAGGGCTAGCATGACTCTCCTGTGTTATTGGACGTTGCTAGTCTAATTTCTCTGGAAATGTACTTCCCAAACAGTCCCAGCTGTCCCAGGAATGCAATTTAACCATTGTTGTTCATAGTTCTCAATTGAAAAGAATTAAAAAATGTCATTCTGACCAAAGATTTATGCACTGAGATTACAATGACTGAATACTAGGAGTTAGGTTAAGTTTGTATCTGCTCTCTCACTTGGGTTAGACCCTCCCTCATTTCTAAGCAGAATGACACAGTACTATAATTTATTCTGTGCTTTTAAAAAGAAAAAAGAAAAAAGATTGCTATTGTAATACCAACATTTGTGTCCCAGATGATAATCTTTTGCTGGTTGCTGTTGAAGGCAGCTGACAAAAAAGCTCAGGGACGTGGAACTCTAGGGAAGACAAGACTTAGAGAATAGACGCTATATCTGGTCTCCTATTTTAGTGTCTCAGAAGGATAAAATTTCTCTAATTATAATAGAGAGTTTTCAGTCTGTGCTTGAATTTAATTTTGAGGGTTCCTAACAGTAAGTTTCTTCTACTGCCATCATTGTCAATGTAGTAATGCACTGATGGTGCCAGACTTCAGATTCTGATTAGAACTGATGTGCAGTACAGACTTGCAGAGCTAATAACTTCTGAATCCCTACCACAGATTTGGTACCTAGATGGAAGGAAAAAGACAATTTATTTTTCAGGCAGCACTGTCCTAGAGTAACTGTTTTGGAGTCTTCTAATTACTTGCTGCTGAAGCTTAAAGATCCCCTCCAAGCAGAAGAATTAAGGTGCCTCTCGGCACCTCTTACCTACTATGGTTGATTGCTTAGAGCATGCCAAAAAGTTCTGGGCTTGCATAAAAATTGAGAAGGTTTTTGTTTCTGTAATTTGCTACAGCTCCTATGCCTTGAAATATGTCAGCAGTCTTAATTTGATCATTAGTCTATATAAATATGAAAGTTGTGGCATGCAAAAGGCTTTTGCCATAGGATAACCATATGTGTCCATATATTTATGCCTAGGTTGGATGGATTAAGTACATTATTTCAGGGAGGAACAAATCATCATGCCCTAGGTGCTGCTGCAGTCTTTCCTCTAAGCTCCTCTAAGCCTCCCAGGGCTACCACTGATGCACAGCATGGGGTGCTGGTGGGGAGTTTCTCTCTGCTGCTCTCCAGGGTAGCCCCAGTCCCAAAGGGGCTGTTGCAGAGACTAAGAGAAAAGGCCTTTACAGATGGGGGCTGATCTCACTCACTCCCCTCTCACTGGGATGAGGGAGAGAATTGGAAGGGTAAAGTGTAAAAACTCGGGGTTGAGATAAAGACAGTTTAATAGGTAATGCAAAAGCTGCGCATGAAAGCAAAGCAACAAAAGGAATTCATTCGCTACTTCCTATCGGCAGGCAGATGTTCAGCCATCTCCGGGAAAGCAGGGCTCCATCACACGTAATGGTGACTTGGGAAGACAAATGCTATTACTCTGAAAGCCCCCATTTCCTCCTCCTTCCCCCAGCTTTTTATTGCTCTGCACAATGTATGTGATAGCCCTTTGGTCAGTTGGAGTCAGCTGTCCTGGCGGTGTCTCCTCCCAACTTCTTGTGCTCCCCCAGCCTGCTCACTGGCAGAGCAGCGTGAGAAACAGGAAAAGAAAATGCCTTGATGCTGTGCAAGCACTGCTCAGCAGTAGTTAAAACATCCTTGTGTTACCAATACTGTTTTTGTCACAAATCTAAAACACAGCACCATGCAAGCTACTATGGAGAAAATTAACTCCATCCCAACCAAAACCAGTACACTTAGGAAAGGATGGTTTATCGCGGAAACAGCCTGTCCTAGTTTGTGTTTCATATTTGGGTATCCATTCACTAAAATGAAATTTTTGTAGTTAAGAGTATTTTGTACGAACCTGGTGGCAGCAGAAAATACGCAGCCCAAAAATAAACTTTAGTTTGTTGCTGACAGTGGCAACACCAACAGCTCAAAACCGAACAAACCACAGAATTGCTGTTCTGAAGAGCTTGAAGCCAGAAGTGTTTCCTAAGCATCAGCCAAATAGCTGCTACCTTGTGGTGTTGGTCTGTAGCCCAGCTCTCTTTGTCCTTTGTCTTATTTAGGTACAGGAAAATAATTGAAGCAATGAGCCCCCATTCTCCACTTCTACTGACTTTGTATTTTTTGCCTTTCTTCAGCAAAAAAATCTTTTTGTGAATAAGTAGAAGGCTCCTAGGGCACCTGTCCCTCCAGGAGATAGACAGAAGACTCATTTTGAATTGGAAACTAGCATCCGGCATAAAGGAAAGTGTCCATTAGTTGTCAGCAGTATTTGTACATTTGAAAATAGTTATTAGATTGCTACAGTCATGTCATGTGCCCTGATGCAGTGCAGGGAAACCTATACGCTGTTGCATGATGCATATAAAAGAAATTTTGTGCAAGAGTTACATTTAAATTATAACCCTGCATTGTTGTTAAGCTTGTGAATCCTCACTTCGCTCTCACTGAATTGCATGTTGTATCTGACCCTTGCACAAACAGGGCAGGTTAGGGGAAACATCATGGGAAGTGAGCAAGAGATGAGAAGCAACATCCTCAAGAGGAGCACACTGGGAATCAGGAGACCTTTGCTCTATTCTCTCCTTTACCAGGGACCTGCTAGGCAAATTTAAGCATCTCAATGTCTCAGGTTTTCTCTTTGTTTAAAACTGAATGAGAATACTGCAAAGCATTGTGTACAATACTGTAGAGGTCTGTAAAGCATTGTGAAGTTTAAATACTAATATTTTATTGTAATAATAATATTACCAGGGTGCAGAATGCTTTGTAAATGCTCTTTTTTCTTCTGTTTGGAAAAGCTGTAAGCTTCTAGTTTGTGTGTTAAGACTTCAGTAAAGCACTTAAACACGCATTTGAAATCAAGCATGTGCATTAGTCCTTTTCTGAATACACAAAGCTATTAATTAGGGCTTGTAGCAAGACTGTTTGATTGTCCAAAGTATGAATAGAATGTGCTTGTGGGGAGGAGCCTTGCTTTTCAAGCACATATGTTGGTAAAAATTAATAAGTACAAACCCTCCAGTTAGTCATGCACTAGTGTGACCTTCCATCTCTGAGTCCCTCTCTTCCCTTGCTATGCATAACACTAAAGTAGATTACAATCAATATGGTTAGTGCAGTAAGTGAATGTAATGATGCTAACGAGTCATTTCTTTATAACGATCAGGTTCTCCAGCTCTGCCCAGCAACATGGTATATTTTGGAAGCTCTCAGGATGATGAGGATGAAGAAGAGGAGGAAGAGGAGACAGAGGACACAAAAACAGCCACAAACAATGCTTCATCATCATGCCAGTCAACCCCCAGGAAAGGAAAAACGCATAAACATGTACCAAATGGGCAAGGTAGGTCCTAAACAGTGTTGTTCTCCTGCACTGCCTAGTAAAGAAATTTCATCTGAATGTGCTTAATCCTTGTCCATCCTTCTGGATCTGAGTGAAAAAGGATACAGGCCATAAATGGAAAATGGAGTGTGATGTAGGGTTAGCATCTTCTGATTTAACCTGTTTCTCCAGACAATCTGAACCCTGACTGTGGCAGAACTATAACTGCAGGGCTGGAATTATTCTTATATATACACACACACACACATATATATTTACACAGACAATATATTTACACACACATACGCACACTGCAGTTATATACACACATGTATGTACTGGCACACAGAGTCACTCTCTCTGTTTTTTCTGAGACTGATGTTTAATCTAGAATGATTTTATTTTATCAAAGTTAAATATAAACATTCATAAGTGTTACCAAAACGTGCGACAGGGGCAACACTTAATTTCTGACATGCAATATTGATACCACAATTGCAGTAGTTTAAGATACTGCATTCATGTTGTTGATGGAAAGATTTTATGGAAGAAGCCTTTTAAAGTCAGTTATTTGCAAGTCAACAAAAGCTGCATTCGTTACACAGTATTTCTGTCACTATGTCCTTGTGCTGTATCTTGATAAATGGATCCGTGTATGTTGCAACATCACCTAGTGTAAAATGGAAGACAAAAAAGCCATGCTGAGAATTTTCTGAGCCTGCTGTAATGTTCCACTGCCAAAGTCCTGTGTGATGTGGTTCTCTTACCAGCAAGAGCTCCTGTATTGAACAACTCTGTGCCCTCTCTGCCTGACATAATTTCAAAACGGAGCCTGTGCTCTCTGTTTACTTCCTCAGTATTGGTTTACCATGAAAATTTTTCCTTTCGGTGACTGTCCATTCAGCTTTACTCCTCTTAGTAGGAGGACTGAGAGGAAGGTCTCTCTGTGGTGCACGTTTTGAGAGATGGTTGTCAGCTGTGCCTGCCTTTTTTCGTTCTTTCGTGCTATGCTCTGCTGTGTAGAAGAGATTAGTAGATCCCAATTACTTCATTGTGCTTGTCCTCACCTCTGCTTTTCAAAAGAGGGTTTTCTATAAAAGACTTCCTTGTTGAATATACCAAACTTATTTTTCATGACAACATCTGAATCTGTTTTTTTATTGCACACCCAAGCTCAAAAACTCTTTTTGTGAACCACTTGTGGAGAACTGCAAGGGGTTGTTATGCCTAATAGCATTTCAGTTGTCATCTGTGAGCAGGAGCTTTAATGCTGTAAAAGCCATGGATCAAAACTTGGCACTTTGGACTGATTTCTAAATAACCCCCCCAAAATAACAGGCACAAAACTCTACATATGGAAAATGAGATTGCACGTAACAGAACTGCTGCCTTGGAGTTTTAAATGTGATATATCATTACAAAAGGAGCCGATCATGTTCCTTGAGAATGTCCCAGATGGCAGCCACTTTGAAATTAGCTCAAAACCAGAGACACCTGAAATCTTAATTGGGGGTAAGTAAAGGGAAACTTAATGAGCCATCTAATGGCTTCATAATCTTTATCAATATAGATCAGAGTGAGCATAAATGAAGCTGCTGCTTTAATAGATCTGCAAAAGACCTTTATAAAATACATAGGAGAGAATGTGAAATGTTTTGACAAAGGTGATGAAACGGGAATTCCCAGAGAAGGCAGCTGCTGCTGCTTCTTCTTCGTCATTGTAATTTCTTTTTTCTTCTTTTTTTTTTTTATTTAATTAAAATTTCCTTACCCAGGGGTATTCCCATTTTTCAGTGTCTGTTATTTTGGTTGACAGCCAATAGTATTTTTGTTTCCTGTGAATAAAGTAGGTTCTGGTTCAAGTGTGTCTGTTTTAAATGAGACCACACACAAAGGCAGACCAGGGACGGGTGCAGCAAATGAACTTAATCTAGCGTGAGAGTCTATTTTTAATGAATTAAAGTCTTTTGTTTTTAATATATAATGTGTAGTCAAGCACTTTGGACCTGAAAATGCTAAGCATTTGCTATGACATACAACAACAAAGGTTCAGAGCTTGATTAATGTTATTAGACAGTGTCAGATGATTGCTTTCTACTAAATGGGGGCCAGAACAACTTTCCTGGGCAAAGTCATTTGTCTATATCCTCTTCTGACACCAATATGGGGCATTATTGGAGTTCCACACTGAACTATTTGTTATAACCTAGCCTGTTGAGCCACCTTTTGGACAGCTAACTCAATTGAAAATGCCTAAGTGTGAATAAGAAGCATGTGGAACACGTGGCATAGGTTGCTGCATGAATTGAAGTAATTAGCCCAGCTGACTTGTCGCCTTCCAACTTTACTGCTTATATAGATATATTTAAAGCATCAGATTGTGACCTGTGCCTTTTCATCCTCCTTTCTTAGTACTTCTAATGTGCTGCGCATGTATCCAACTGTTAAAGAGCAAAGTAAAATGTTTGGCAGGAGAAGTGTTTATCCCCCCACATTCATGGGAATGTGGAAAACGGATATGTAGCAATGTGCAAGTCTTTCCTTCATGCGGTATCTTAGTGCAGGCAGTGATAGTCTTGCAGTTAAACAGTTTTCTATGATATTGCTGTGGTTGCCACAAGGGAAAATGGTAGAGCCGTGCTCTTAAAAATTTGTTTCATGTCATGGCCAGACTTCAGCGGATTAGGCTGGGTCTGACATATGTTAAGATGTTAGCAGCAGATAAAGGCTTGCATTTCTAACTACTTAGTTAGAAAGTAGTATTAGTTCTGGGTAGGTGTCTCTCATGGCATGTGAGATGTTCTGTGTGTAACTCTTCCCATTCCTGTCTTTTTCAGTGTGCTTAAACTTACAATGAACAATTTTCACTAAGAGAAGATGCTGTCTAAAGACTTTCACTGTTTGCAAGAGAACCGTTTTCTTGTAATGTAGAGTAAAATGTGTGAGTTGTTTTTACTTGCTTATGGATTAAGGTATGATCTCACAGTACATGTCACAGATTAATTCAGGTCATAGAAGACCTCAGGAGGTCATCTAGTCTTACCTCTTCCGCAAAATACGACTGATAACTTTTCTGACAAATTCAGCAATAAAACTGGCAGAGGTTTGTGCTTTTAATTATGTAAGTCTTTGGGGGAGGGGAAGATTTTAGAAACTTTCTAAAACTTGATGTGAAATTTTGGTCCTAATCAGAATGATTTTAGCTGAGGTAGGATTTATAGCGGGGTTAAAATGGTGAAAGGCGAGAAACTAATCAACTGAATCACTTGGCCTCCATATAGCTACTGACTTCAAAAGGGTATTTTCCCAGCTAAGAAACCATATGAACATTTAGTTGGAATAGAGAAATCCCTCTTGCTGTTTCGGTCAAGGATTTAATCTTTTTAAAGCATGTAGTTCCCTTTTAACTTCAGACTTTCTAAATAAGTTTGTGGTGAAGTTAAAAATTCACACATGGAAGATTAGGGATGATGTAGTGCTGCATGTTGCAGCAGATAGAGCAGAGGTTCAGATGACTCTGTTGTAATTGCAGCCCTGTTACTGACTCTTTTGAATGTGGGTGTAGGAACCCCATAATTGTCAGTGTTTAGATCCAGAATGGCCAGCCATGGGATGCCTGCGTGCTGCTCAGGTGACTATGCTTGTTTTCCAGCTTGCATTCTGTACGCGTCTCAAATGGCCATCAGTCTAGCTGAGACTATTACACGACTTTGAATGCGAGGAGTTCAGTGGAAGAAGCCAGGCGGGAGCATTGGCATAAACAATGTCTTTTTTCTTCAGTGTATCTGTCAGGTGTGGGGAGAAACTTCTCAACCACAGCCTGGATGACAGGGCATCTTGCCAACGCAGAGGAGGAGATGGAGAGACATTGATCTATTAGAAAATGGACCATATGCAAAGGGAGGAGGGCGGCAGTCATCAGCTGCTGTGGGCTGACGTACAGGGAAAGCAGGTTCTCCGCAAGCAAGTGGTACTCCGCTTCCCTGGGGGACAGGGAGGTACTGAGTCAAAATTACACTTCCCTGCTGCTTGGAGGAAATTCCAAGTTGTAGGTAAGAGGGTAGGCTTAGGTCTTTGTTTCTTTAAAACTAATTCTTTGAATTCCTCATGACTAAATATATCCTACTTTGATTTAATTCTGCGGCACAATGGAAGGTTTTCTCTGCAGGCTCCTGAAGGAAAATGTTTGCAGGTGCCAAGTGTTTTGTTAGGCAGGCTGGGATAGGGAGCTGGAAGATGCAATTAGGGAATTGTTGGGTTATCAGTCCCATCACAAGAGCAAAAGGGGATAGGCGTTATTCTACTTGAAAGGGCTTGTGGACTGGAAAAGAGCCTCAGGAAGAGCAGTGTACATAGATACAGTTGCGCAGACAACTTCGAAAGCGCACGCAGCAGGCTACAGTTCCTCTAATAGCGGTTGGCTAATTTCCTCAAGAAGGATGATTGCAGTATTAGGTTATTTCTCACACCACCGTAGCAGTTCAAAGGTGGAGAGAAGTGCACATCTGGGCCAGCATACCTGGGAATGTTGTGTTTGTCTTCAGACACCTGAGACAGACAATTAAGTTCTAATTTACATTTAGGAAAATGGAGTTAGCATCATTATTTGAAACTAGACTTCATGAAGGAGAGTCTTGATTCCTTAGCTGGAGCAAACCGGCTCCAGTGTGTCAGAAAACCTGCTGGGTCAGAAACAGTTACTGGTCCATGCTGTGTTTTGTTAACATGGTCAGATGAAAACTGCTCTGCGTGCCTTTTGCCTGAAATGAGCAGGGGAGAAAACTGCATAAACGCCTTTTTTCCTTGGGGCTCAAATTTCAAAACAGATCTGGCAGTAGTGCGTAGTAAGCAGGCATCGCTAGAAACGCTATACTGTGCTTTAGTGCTGTCTTCCTCGCTTACCAGAAATACAGAAGAATGTTTCGCTTCTCAATTTGCAATGGATAATTTAGCAGAGTAATTTCCTTACATGTGTAGTAACAAAGATGATGCCAGAAAAGATCATAGATAGGGTTTTTTCT